TCTGCAGCGGGGCGCATAGCTAAGTGTGGCCTCTACCCGCTCACCGGTTATGCTGCACACTGAGGGGGAAGCAGGAAGGAGTTCCTGCTTCCACAACTGCTACACAGGGGCTGCAGTGCTTCCCCTCCAGAGCATAATGGAGAAAGGTATCTGTGTGTGTGTGTGACTATATGTTACTGTGTGTGAATGTCTGCCTGTGACTGTGTATGTAGCTGCTTGTAACTGTGTGTGTGACTGCCTGTAATTGTGTGTGTGTGTCTGTCTGACTGTAATTGAGTGTGTGTGTGACTGACTGCTTGTAACTGAGTGTCTGTGTGTGTGTGTGTGTGTGTGTGTGACTGTCTGCCTGTAACTGTGTAACTGACTTTGACTGTGTGTGTAATTGCCTGTAACTGTGTATGTGACTGTTTGCCTGTAACTGTGTGTGTGTGTGTGTGTGTGACTGCCTCTTACTATCTGCTTGTGACTGGGTTTGGCTGTATGCATGCGACTTAAAGACTGTAACGAGTGGTTATGCGCCTTGGACTCTGTACATGTGGCTATATTTGACAGTGTATGTGTATAACTGTGTGCATCTGACTGTATGTCTGACTATGGGACTGCATGCATGTGACACTGCAAATATACACACTAGCATTCACACATGGTCATACATGCAATTTAAAAAATATGAATTAAATACCATGGATGAGTGGGTGTGACCAGGGAGGGGCGCTGTGAAAATGTTTTGCACAGGGCGCCTAAAGACCTAAGGCCAGCCCTGAGAAGAACTAGAAATTGTAGATTAACAAAATGTAATCATTACTAAAGATTTTGTAATCATCTCAGAAAGTCAACCAGCATATAACGAGTTTGTTTGGCAGACTGGGCAGGTGGTGGAGCTGTAGCAAATGATTTTCATAAAATATTCTATAGTTTTCCTGTTCTATCTGTGATTCTCTAATTCTGTTGCAGTTTATTGTTCTGCTCCAATGCTTGCATTCATGTTGAATGCTCAAAGTTATTTTTGAAAACACATATAATTGTGTTCAGTTGTAGTAAAGCCCTGCATACCCTGGAAAAGAACTGACCAAAATACTACACAAAATATACAAAATGTTAGAAATTGATAACTTTTTACTTTGAGAGAGTTTTTATTTGACATATCCTCTTTCCTCCAAAGCTTTTGTTAGGATTATCTGTAAGTGAATGACTTGTGTGTGCAGTAAGTAAAACATGAGAAATACTGTACTCCAGACTGCAGAAAAATATTGAGCATTATGCTGAAGTTGTTAAAATGTGCATGTAATTCATTATTGCTTGTTTACACTAATAGAGTACTTGCTTAGCTTGGTGGCTCTGTTCCTCAAAATTCATAATGTGTAGACTATGATGATTTAAACGTAGCTCCCCTGTTATACTCTGACACTGACAAATTGAAAACAATCCACACAATTTCCTTATTTGGTAGTGTGTCACAAATCTTATCACAGTGCTTTTTTACTGTTAATATCTAAAATGTATTTGCACTTTTTTCTTATCTCAACCCAAATAATATCAACATTAAAACACTGGTTAGCAAAGTAGGTAATAAAGACTCACCACATAAGAATTAAATGCTCACTCTTCTATGTGCTTATTTCACTTGGGGACCATCACCACTTTACATGGTGTTGGTACTGGTGTTCCAGTTGCCTGTGGCAGGACTAACTGCATTGCTCCTAACTCCACCACCTCCCACCACCCTGTATTCCAATACTGAATTGCTGCTATATCATGACAACAAGATAACGTAGTGAGAAGAAAAAGTAGATAATAAGCTAGAATTCTAATTCCAATATGGCTTGATATATTAGATTCTATTCATCAGTTGTCTCTAACTAAGCTCTAAAGTGTCTCTTTAAAGAACATTCTCTGATATATTTGATTGCCAACTACATTCTGACTTAAAGTTGCACTGTCACTTATTGACGACTGATGGGAAATAGCAGAGGAAATGCTGCCTTTTGTCAGAGACTGACAATTACATGGGGCAAATTAGTCACTGCTGAAATTCCAACACAATCA